CCTTGATTAGTTTCCAACCATTGTTTCTCATCCTTCCCTCTGGTGCTCTGGTGAACAACCTGGCCGCCTCTGCCTTGTGGCAGCCCCTCAGATACTGGAACACTGTTATCATGTCTCCCCTATTTCTTCTTTTCTTTAGACTAGCCAGACCCAAATCCCGTAGCCGTTCTTCATATGGTTTAGCTTCCAGGCTGTGGGAAGTCAGCCCCCCCCCCCAGAGAAGGAAATATTAAAAGGGCAGAAAAATATATTTCCTCAAAGGATCTTAAAGAGACCGAAAAGCATGTCCAATTTTTCTTTATAGCCCCAAGTCTCCCTCCTCCAAGCAGAAACCAGCTCTGTAGAAATGCAGATGTGATAATCCATTCAGGAAGGTTGACAGCCTCCAGCTAGAAGCTTAGGAAGACAGACACCTAAAATCTACACACCCCAGCCAAACTCTAAGACAGGACATAATAGGATTAACTCACAGATGCCAAAGGGCACACTCAGACTCAGGTCAGAATACATGACACAGGAAATACAAAGCCTCAAACAGGAACAGGAAACAGCTCCAAACAAAAGGATCCAGAGGGTATAAAAACCCACTCCCTACATGTGCTCTCTCTTTCTTTTCTTCCAGAGCCATCTTCCTGTCTGGCTCTCCTCTTCAATAAACTGCAACCTTCTTTCTAAAGCAGTCTCCATTTTGTTTATTCCCGGCTTGGACTGAACCCCGATGAAGGCTTTTCCTTCAACAAGGCCTTGGATCATCTTAGCTGCTCTTCTCTGAACTTTTTCCAAACTCTCCACATCTTTTTTGTGGTACGGTGACCAAAACTGGCTGCGGCATTCCAGGTGTGGCCTCACTAGGGCTTTTTATAAAGTGGTACTAATACGGACCGACTGACCTGTTCAGGTTCAAAATCCACCTTGATTTCTCCCTTTTCTTTGGCTGCCCGAAAAGCGTCGTAGAAAGTCAATTCTCCAGACTGCAACGTGATCGTCAGCACGGCGTCGTAAGCCTTCCGGAAGCCGTCGTCATTTTCCAGAAGGAAATAGGAATGGTTCCCGTAGGGCAGGCTGTAGAAGAGCGTGTCGTAGGGCAGAAAGAGGTACCTGCCGTCGGCCAGCCCCAGTTCCTGGGCTTTGCTTAGGAAGGACGCCTGCTCTTCCCCCCCAGTGAGAGCAGACGCCATGCAGAGCAGAAGGACTGAGAGGAGAAAGGGAAGGAAGGGGTTAAAGTTTTTTGCTTCCACAGGAGAGGGAGTGGGGGAGAGAGGAGAAAGGCAGAATTAACCAGAGTAACAGAGTGGGAAGGGACCTTGGAAGTCTTCTAGTCCAGCCCCCTGCAATAGGATGAGCGTGCATCTGACCATCAAAGTGGAAAGGCCAGTTGGAGACTTTAATTTGTTGCAGGTAGTCCTCGACGTACGACCGCAATTGAGCCCCACATTTCTATTGCTAAGCGAGACGGTTGTTAAGGGAAGGGAGGGAGGGACGAAGGGAGGGAGGAAAAGGGGAAGGGGAAAGGAGGGAGGAAGGAACAAAAGAGAAAGGGAAAGGGAAAGAAAGCAAAGGAAGGAAGGAAGGAAGGAAGGAAGGAAGGAAGGAAGGAAGGAAGAAAGAAAGAAAGAAAGAAAGA